CGCCCCGCGGCTGCCTCCGTCCTGCCGCAGCCCCATGGCGAGCCCCGGGCACGCAGAGCGCGGCTCAACCCCGCGCCTCACGCCGCCACCATCGCCCTCCTGCAGGCGCTGCGCCGCGCCGCGCCCCGGCCCGCCGCTCGCACCGCCCCCGCCGCCCGCCCCCAACGCGCCATTGGCCGCGCCGCGGGGCCGCAGGGCCCCATTGGGCGTCGCCCCTGTCAATCACCTGCGCTCCAGAGGGGCAGCGGAGCGGGGGGGGCGATGAGCGCAGACGGGGCTCGCAGGGCCTCGCCTCCCGCCCACAGCCCCGTCTTTTTTCTGATTTGCCGCGTGCCGCGGGGGGGCGGGGCTTCTTGCGAGGAGCAGCCACACGATAGGTGGGCGCGGCCGCCCGTCAGCGCGAGAGCGCCCGGCGATTGGCGGCGGCGCTTCCTAAAGCGGCAGCGGGGCTGTCAGGGCAGGGCTGGGGTCTCGCGCGGCTCCCGGGATCCGCTGCCCCGCGGCCGGGGAGGGACGCCCGGAGACCCCCCCCGTGAGGTGGACGCGGGGCGGCTGGAGGGAGCGAGCGAGCGAGCGAGGGAGCGGCCGCGGGAGGCGGATGGAGGCGGCGGGAGGGGCGGAGGAGCGACGGCGAGGGACAGTCCCCGCGCCGGGCCCGCCCTGAGGAGGGGTCGGGCCGAGCGCCAGGCCCAGCCCGAGTCCCGCAGCGCAGGCCCCCGTGCGGGAGGGGCTCCGGAGTTCGCGTGGGGACGGGAAGTTGGTGGGAATGAAATTCCGCGGGCAGGGTGATGTTTTCTTTGCCGGTTTAACCGGCGTGCGCAGAGCGGCGCCCGGGCGCTGGGGGCTGGGTGTGCTGCTCGGTTCTGTGTAAAAGTGGCTGCGAGGGAGAGCGAGGGGGGGCGATCCTGGTGGGATGCGGCTGTGAATTCCCCATAGCCAGGCTGGCTGAATGTTTCTCCCACCGTGCAGTGCCACTGAGGAGGTATCGGGAGCCAGAGGTGCTGGGTTCTAGCATTGATCTGACATTTAAACGGAGGCATATTCTGGTTCACAGAGAAAGTGCCACGCTGCTCGCTGCCCACGTGCCTCCTGGACACGCGTACGCGTGTGCTTAAGTTCTGAATCCCAAAGCGCCATTTGCAATGATTCTGAAACTCACTGAATCTCAAGAGTCAGGGTGAGGTGTTTGTGTGATCTGTGGGAGCTAATCCCAAACCTATCAGCCGGCCAAATCAGAAACTAAGCCAAAATCAGAAACTAAGCCATCTATCGAGTGGAAGCACAAGGGAAATAAGGAAGATAATGCAGTAGAGCTCTGAGAGCAGCTGTGAAATTGAAGCCTCGGGGCTTTGCAGTCCTCCTCTGTGTTCTTTTCCATGACAAACCAAATGGAGTCCAAGCCTGATCCACAGACTGGGAAGCTCCTTATCCCAGTGCTTCCCTCCTTTCTCCTAAGCTGCCTCTGACTGTGGTGCCATATCGCAGAGGCTGCCAGCATTCAGTGGCTGGAGTGAAAGGAGAGAAAGATTGACTGTGTGGATGGCCACAGGCCTAAGCTGAACTAAGTTACTTCGGAGAGAGTGAATATTTGGGCTATTGAAAACATCAGCCCTTTGCTTATAGTGTGTCAATCTTCAGTCCTTACCCGAGCTGCCTGGGAAAGGCAGTGATTCTCCTTTTTCTTAAGTGTTGCACTGGAAATGTTGCAGGCAGTTGTACTACTCATACAGAGTTTCTCGGAAATGCTCTTTTTCCAGAATAGTTTTGAAGATTTTGCACATTTATCTTAACGTTTCTGTCCCAGTTTAGCAGCTGGTCTGTACACAGAGTAATTCCAACACACTTGAGGGAGACATCCACTGATTAAATGCAGATCACCTGCTTAGGATTTGGGAAATGAGGCCAGGATTTCCAGAGCACATCAGACTGAAAACATGCAGTGTGGAGCACACACATGCTTGATTTTGACTTGGAAAATACCAGATGGAAAACTGGCAGTTGTAAAGTGGATCAAACAAGGTAATATGAAATTCCAGTGGACCTGAGGAGATACTCTCATACCAGGGAAATGTCCAGTAATCAGTTGTGCTGATTTTATTTCAAAACTTGTCTTTATTCTATTACCAAAAGCTAATCCTAAGTTTCTCTGATTTATCTCCTAAATATTGTGCAGCACTCAGGCTAATTCCTAAGACATATCTTTGACCAAGATCTTATTTTCCTCAAACTGAGATAGACATTTTCTGTCCCGTGGAATAAATGCAGAAGATCTGGTGGTTTGTTCAGTGACTTGTGTTTCAAACATCATTATTTATTAACATTTTCCATCTCCTTCATAGCTTTTTGGATTCGAGTTACACCAGGCCTGGGAGGTACATGGCATAAGGCTGCTTTTTCCTTTGTGGCATGGGGAGAAATATAACATAGGCAATTATCCTACAAATTATCCATTTATTTTACAATTTTTAAGACTAGCACTCCTCAGCTCTTGCAATTTTGGGGAAAGCTTTAGGAGATTTCAAAGGGTGTGAAGAATTACTGTGGAAGGAAGGGCAAGATCTTCCACTGGAGGTTGAAAGCTAGAGGCCACCACAGTATTGTGAGGTTACTGGACTGAGCCTCATACCAGACCAACTCAAAAGCTCATGTGACTTCTGTTGGCAGCTCACAGCCCAGAGGACCCAATAAATGGCAAAAAGGGATTAGCAAGGGCATAGATGAAGAACCCCATACCCCTTCCTTGGGTCAGAGCACTCAGATGAGTCAGCAAAGAACCTCCCTGTTGATTTCACTCCCACATTGCAAAGATCTCCTGACTGGTCCTGCCAGCCACAAGCCTGGTTTGTGCCAGTGACCCAGCTCAAACCATAGCTCAGCTCTAGAGGGTGGCTCAGGATCTGAGCCAAGGTCTAGGGAAACTGTCACATTTTTACTTAATTCAATATTATGAGCTTGATGGTGAAAACAAGCACAGCTAATTATACCAAAGTACCCAACACTCACCTTTAAGGTCAATACCTGAGTGAACAACTCTTCTGTGACTCCCAGAAGGGTCCTTCTGATTATGTACAGTGTCAAATACCTTCTCTTCTGCAAGCAGGAAAAATAGTCACTTGATGAATAGGTAGGTGCTGGTTTATTGTTTAAAAATACATAATGTGTATGTCACAATCTACTGAAACCATATTCCTGTCAAATCTGGTGCTTTCCTTGCCTATGGAAGGACAGCCGAGGAAGTGTATTTGTATATATTTGAGCATGCTCTCATCTCTGTTGTTCTGGAAATGGCATGGAACAGGATGCTGAGAGCTGCTCAAAGTGGGAAGTTGGCAGTGCTGACCAGGGATTCCCCAGAGCAACCATACCAGGTTCTTTATAAGCAGCTGGTTCCACTAAGGACACTCATCCTATCCAAAAACACATAACTCATGCTCTGTGGCTCCTCTTTCCCCCCTGCTGTGCTGACACTGAACCATCCAAACTCCTTCACAATCTCCACAGAAATCCCCATGTATTATTTTTTTCCTGGATTTTGCCTCCTGCTCTCTGGCTTTGGCCTGGTAGTGGGAGATTTCAGTCCTCCTGGTCCAAGTAGAGAGATGATCTATGTTCTATTGCTGTTATTCCCTGTCAAGTTTTAAAGCTACACAGCCTCTCCCTTATCCTTCAGCGCCTCATCATCAGCATGACTAAGGACAGGTTGTTCACTAATAAAGAAATGACCTTTGCTAGGAATAGCTGTCATAAATCTCTCTTTCCTTGTGCCTCTGTACATGAGCCTGCAGAAATGTCACTGAGGGAATCAACTAATTGGATTATGTCAAATTTGCAAGAACATTCCTCTTTCTGAGGCGATGGGCTGTGTACTTGAGGTTACCCACATCTGCCACGTTTTAAATGTGTTTGGATTTCTAGATCCCATCAAACCTTTGATCCCACGTTAAATAAGGTAGTGGAGAATTTGCACTGACCTCAGTAATAAGTGTAAAGTACCATCCTGGTCCCCAACACATGTCCCTGTAACAAGTCATGCTACATATTATGGTAGCAAACTTGCCTGCTCTTTTTCTTTGTTTCTTCACATCCCAACATTAATTTACATATATATACATTCAGAAAAAAAAATCATAACAGTATACGTAGCAAAACATTTTTTTAATCCTCCCTTTGTTTCTTGTTTGTTGCTGGAAAAACTCCACTCAGATGTCTTTTTACGTGATCTGATAACACCCAACAGCCATTCTGTATTGGAGGGAATAATGTTTTGAATATTCCCTCTGATAAATATCAGTGACAATTGAAAGGGTGCAGGTGTGTGTGTGGAATACCCCATTTTATTTGTGCAATGCAAGCTTGACTTTGACACTGGCAGCTGAGAAAAGGCGATTCCCACATTGCAGAATCAGACAGCCCAGTTCCTGTCATAGCCTGGAACGAAAGCATATCATTTCAGCAATACCCCCAGCTGTGCTTAAGGCATAAAAACATCACCATTTGTTCTTGCCTTGCAAACAAAAGAAGCAGATTTTAGGATGTGCTCTGGCGGGCTTGTGCTTTGTTAACACTGGCAGGGGCTGAGGGAGGCAGCCCAGCCTGGTTCTTGCCTATGGAACAGCTCCTGTGTGCAGCATTCCCAGCCTGGACCACATCCCAGCCCAATGTGTGGAGCTGTGTACAGGCACCCACCCTGTTAAACCTCCTAATCCAGAGAGAGCTCTGCTGCCAAGAGGAATCTGCAGAGACAGGGGTTGGGGTACCTCACCAGCACCTCTTTTTTATGGATTGTTCTCCCATTCTCTTGCTGTGGCTGGAGCTCACACTTGTATGTGGTGAGCCCCTGCTTGTGCTTCAGCCAGACAGTGAGTGCCTCCCCTCCAGGCTCTGTGCCAGAAGGAGTACCCAAAAGGCCTGTCCCATGAGTGGCAGCCTCATGTCACAGCCCCTTTGCTCTCCTGTGACCGACTTTGTTCTGCCACCCCAGAGGGACCAGGTAATCCCTGCCCTGCCTCTCTTAACCCCACTGCCCAAAGTCTTGTAGGCAAAGTCAAGCAGGGTGGTTCAAACAGAGCAGATGAAAAACATCCTGACCTGTCTTTCCATTATCTCCCCTCTCTTGTCTGGCTGAAATTCTTCCCAAACCACTCAGCACTAAGGGGCATGTTGTATTTATCTGCAGACGAGGTCAAGGACAGGAGTCACATTCCTGAAATGCAGAAGTCAGTGCAGTCCAGGCTGTGGAGTCAAGACCAAAGATGGGGCACTGGTGGTGGAGACCCTACACTACAGAGAGCATTTCCCTGCTCTGGATCAGAACACTGGATCAGTGCTGCTTTCTCCAAGTTTATTATCAGCTCCCCTGTTAGTCAGCTTGCAATGGTCTGAATGAGTTTTGTCACAGCCCTTTGATACCCATGAAATTGTGTACACCTCTTAGTGGCCCTAGTTACCCTCTTCTCAAAGAAAAAATTAAAAAAAAAAAGAAGCAGGCAGTACTTTGTCCATAAATAACAACTTTCAATCTTTTATCATGCTTAGTGTCTCCTGTACTCTTTCCAGTTCTTCAATGCCCTTCCTGTGTGGTCTCCCTAGCCTTTTTACAGAGTATAATTATGCTTGTATAGAACATCCTGCAGCACTAATGAGGGCAAAGAATGCCTTTCTCCCTCTCTTTTTAAAACAAACAGCACACAATGTGGCCAGCAGGAGAGGGCAATGATCATCCCCCTGTACTGGGCACTTTGTGAGGTCACACCTTGAGTCCTGTGTTCAGTTTGGGCCCCTCAGGACAAGAAAGACATTGAGGTGCTGGAGTGTGTCCAGAGAAAGGCAAAAGAGCTGGTGAAGGGTCTGGACAAGTCTGATAAGGAGCAGCTGAGGCAGCTGGGGGGGTTCAGCCTGAGAAAAGGAGGCTCGGGGGGAAGGGAGCCTGGAGGAGTTGTATAGATGTGGCCCTTGGGGACATGATTTAGCGGTGGGCTCGGCAGTGCTGGGCTGACCATTGGACTTCACGATCTTAAATGTCTTTTTCAACCTAAATGATTCTATGATTCTATTATTTATTACCAAATAATCCATACTTATTAATTTAAGATGCCCTTCATAAACAATTGCCTTGATTCTCTGGAACTGTTCACTTTTTCTCATTGAGATTTTTTCTTCTTTCAATTTCTACAGTTCTTTTCGACTTTAAACATGACCTTTTTTAATATGTAATTTTTTTCTTAAGCTAATTGCTGCTACACAGACCACCACCAATGCTCTGTAGACACAGCTGAAAGTGAAAGGGCCAAACTTTATACAAGATAAAGATAGGGAGCAACCAACCTATGGCTAGGATTTGGAACAAGCATCTCAGAGAGGTATGGCAGCACAAGTGAAAACACAAGACATTTTCTCCACAGACAGAGGTTAAGAACAGAAAGACCCTTTTCTAAGAGTTACAGAAGAAAATAAGTGATGGAGCAAGTTCAGGGGAAGACTTGCTTTCTAGCTCCCCATACCCATTCTACATGACCCTGGCTATGTCAAATCTCTGCTTAACCAGCTGTAGATGTTTCATGGAGGCATCCAAGGAAACTGCAGATTCAGTGGTGGAAAGGTCAAGGAGTGAGGGTGGTACAGCTCATACTTTTTTTTTCTACTGTGATCCCCTTTATCAGAAAATCAGTAGCTGGACATGCAATCAGAATAATGAGCTGGAAAAATATAAAGCCTTTTACCTGTATTTCCGTAACCACCAGAGAAATCATAAAATGGAACACAGCTGCCTCTAAAGATTATGCAGGAAACTCCTCTTTGCCCAAATATAATATATGTCACCTTTAAAGAGAATGCCTGGTTAGCTTTGGATCTACACCATCAGTCATTCATGCAGTTCATCAGTAACAGGGGTATGCTTCCTTGGAATACAGGCATTAGCAATGCACAGGCCACCATAGATCAAATCTGAAGCCTTCTTGGAAGCCAGTCGAGAAGCAATTACCTTGCAGATATGATAAGACAATCTGTTATGCAAAACCGTGTTCCCACCAGGCTAAGAGGAAATTTGGAGCTAACAACTTGTACAACCAGAATCCCAAACATCACACAATGGGACATTAGTGAATACTTGATGAAAAGTACCTCAAATCACAGAGTGGAAATATATATGTCTGGTAGGGCCTTCATCCTGCAGAAGATCTACAGTCACCACAGCTGAAAGCACCTACTCATGCATGCAAGACATGCAAGTGGACAAGTGTTTGCAGTAATGGTGTTGGGCAGGTGTGAGATGGTGTGGAAAAACTCAGTTTTGAAAGGACAAGCAATTAATTCCGTTGTAAAACTGACTGCAAAGTTTCCTGCTCCTACTTTTAATATCTCAGCAGCCACACAGCTTAGACAAATACCTCTAGTTAATCTGGAAATTAAACTACATAATCACAGCCAAGTTAGATAATTCCAGACTAAGAAACTACTCTTCAACATGCCCAGATTAACTCATAGGGATTTAAATGGTGTTGCAAGTTATTTTTAACTGAGTTATCATTAATCTCCCTATATGCTTTTTAGACTGTATAAAGTCACACTGTCAGAAAACATGTTAGCTTCCAAAAATAAAAGAGGTGACCACAAATTGGTTGTAGGACTCATTTGCCAGATCATGGTGGTGTTTGGGCTCCTCCAGTTTGCCCCACCTTACAACCTCCTTTCTGCTAAATTCCTCTGCACAAGCTATGGAGGACATGTAGCCTTATGGACCATGTATCCCTATGGCAGATTCCTCAGTGAGTCCCAGGCTGAAGAGGAGACTGCTCAGTGTAGATATTTTTCATCCACAAACTTGGAATCTTACTGACTTTTCACACATGCCTAGAAGGTGACTCCTTTGCCAGTCCTGTAGAGGGACAATCAGGGGAGGGAAAAAAAGGAAATCTCTAGTTTGGGCCACTTGCTAACTGCAGCTCAGTGACACACTAGTGCCTGGGGCCACTTTGAATCCCTAGGTTTGAAATTAAAGATCTAGGGGTATAAATGGGTTTCTCACCAGTAAAAACAGTAGAGTCCCAAAACCCCAGCAAATGTGCTCCCAGCCCAGGGCAAGTGCTGGCTGGGAACAATTCCATTGCTATACTTAAAGATGCAACCTAATCAATCACCAAGATACCTTCCTTTCATCCCTAACCAGAGCTGCAGAGCTCAGCAAAAGGACCTGCACAACAACAGCACAAGGCTGGTAAAGGCACCTCAGCATCTCTCTTCCTGGCAAAAATTTCTGTATCAGCCAAACTAGCAAAATCTGTCTGTTTTGGGAAACAACAGATACGTCAAACATTCTGGCAAAGCCCAGGAGAAATGACAGTTCAATGATGTTGAAAAGAAAATTATCAGAGAGAGATTAGTTTGTCTGACAGTATGTCTTTATGCTCTCCACTGAAGAAGAACAAGAGTCCTTTCATGCATATTGAATTTACTTCTGGTGCGAGTCAACCCCTGTCAGTAGGGCTGTAAGTGCTGCCGGTTTAGAAAAATGGGTGATCGCTGCAACTTGGCACCTGCTCCCTGCACACCCCAGAGCCCTGAGCTTTCCAGCCACTTACTCGGCTGCAAGCAATGCTTGTTTTACACCAAAGCATCATGGTTTTGGGTGCAGCATTCAGAACGCTGCACTATCTATTAAAATATTTGCCCAGGTAGGCAGACGGTACAGGGAGCCTGCAGGCCATGGAAACCCCAGATTCCAGTTGTGAAGCTAAAAGAGGTAAAGGGAGCAAATGGTGCCTGTTCACAGGAGTGACCATCCCAACTCATTTCTCACACAACTTTGCAGGTGAATTACCCTGCACTGCCGATTGTCTGGTGCCATCCCTCTCTACAAGACACAACAAAATTTTACCACTGTTTTGCCACAGCCATCCCTCAGATGCTGTGGTGTTGCAGCTTGTGCAGAAGCAATAATTCCTGAACAGACACCACCACTGCTCTCTGGAGAGTGCAGTTTGCAAATGTGTATTACACTCACCATCCATTCTCCTCCCAAGTCTAAGACATCCATGAGCTAAAAGCTTGGATACAAAGTAATGCCTGGAAAGTTTCAGGTTCTTTTTTGGACACTGATAAGATGCTCAACACAGATGACAATGGCATGAATTTTGTCTCAGGCTCCTGCTATTCTGCTCACCATTCTGGCAGCCCAAAGGTGGCAACAACCCAACTGAACTCATAGGTTGTGTCTTCCCTGGGAGCAGGCAGAACACATGAAGAGGGAGGAATGGTGTGTCATTTCCCAGCTGTGACACAGATGGGGACGAGGACAGAGTAGCTGGGTGACTGGTGTAGCCTAGCATGGCAGGAGTGCCTCTTTGGAGACTGCAGCATTTGAAATCCCATAGAATAATCCTGTTGCACCCCTCTGCTGGGGCTCAGGAGTCCCACTCTGCATGGCCTGCTGACCTGCAGATCCTGGTGCCCACTGCAGCAGCAACAGCTCCTAATTGCTCAGGACAGTGAAGACCTTCCATCACAGGGTTTTCTTTTGCCAGCCTCTTAGCTGAGAAGGAAAACTGCATAGGTAGTAAAACTGCTCAACTCACAGTTACATGCTCCTGTTGTTTATTTAAAGCATTGCCCAAACTACTTATCTTCCCTAGGAGGAATCTCAGTACAGCTGAACTGAGTTTAGCAAATCTTCCCACCCAAAAGAACTTGAAACTGTCACAAAAGTAGAGGTGAAAAGTTTGGTTAAAGAATAAGAAACCAAACAAAGAGGGTCTGGCATGTGGCAACAACAATAACTGTTGGTGCCCTTCAGCTTGCTTGACCCACTACATCAGACAATGCTGACCTCATTGCTCACCACAAAATTGTGATGCCTTCCTCAGGCCAGGGCAGCATCACCTCAGCGAGACTAAAATAAAACCCACTGAAAGGCTTTATATAATACCACGGCTACAAGATCTCTAATGTAGTTTTCTTACTGGAGCAAGAGCCAAGTACAGCTTAAATTCATTAGCTAATGGCCTGTGACAATGAAGGACAAAGACAATTATTATACACATTTCCCAGCTGATTGTTTCTGTGTGAAGAAAATGCAACAAATTATTGTTCTCCTGTATTAATGCACCATAAAGGATTACTATCATATCAATTTCAAAAAATCCCTATCCCTTTCAAAATGCAGACAAATGCCGGATAAATTTGATTTTTATAGATGAAAGCTTGGGAGAAAAGTCAAGATTTCATTAGGGCCATGGACAATCACATTACATTTTATATGATATGAGGACTTCACTACTAAATCAGGAAATTGATCTCAGGGAATTTTTTTCTACTGAAGACTTATCAATTCCCTGAGTATCTCTCAGGTATCTCAAACACTTATCCTTGGATATAATAGTCAGAGGCATTCCTAATAGCTGGGTTTTTTAATAGAAAAGTCAGAAAAGAAATACAATATAAAATCATAAAATCGTAAAATCATGAATGTTGGAAAAGACCTCCAAGATCACTGAGTCCAACCTTTGACTGATGACCACCTTGTCAACTCGACCACGGCACTGACTGCCACATCCAGTCATTGGTTATTGTGTTCAGTAAGGCACTTTGCCTTACTGAAACTCATACCATTGGCCTTGGCCCATTGGTCCAGCCTGTCCAGATCCCTCTGCAGAGCCTTCCTGCTCTCCAGCAGATCAACACTCTCACCCAACTTAGTGTCATCTGTGAACTGACTGAGGGTGCACTCGACGCTCTCGTCCACATCATCAATAAAGATATTAAACAATCAATAAAGATATTAAAAGGACTGGGCCCAACACGGATCCCTGGGGACACCAGTAGTGACCAAACACCAACTGGATGCAGCACCATTCACCACCACGCTCTGGGCTCAACCATCCATCCAGTTCTTAACCTGTACAAGCCATGGGCTGCAGCTTCTCCAGCAGAATGCTGTGAGAGACACTGTCAAAGGCTTTGCTGAATTCCAGGCAGAAAACACCAACAGCCTTTAGCTCATTCACTAGGAGGGTCACCTGGTCATAAAAGGAGATCAGGTAGGTCAAGCAAGACCTGCCTTTCCTAAACCTGTGCTGGCTGGTCCTGTTCCTCTGCTTGTCCTGTATGTGCTGTGTGATCACACTCAAGATAATCTGTTCCATAACCTTGCCGGACACTGAGGTCAGCCCGATGGGCATGTAGTTCCTTGGATCCTCCTTCCAACCCTTCTTGTGGATGGGCCAATTTTCAGTCAGCTGGGACCTCCCTGGTTAGCCAGGACTGGTAGTAAATGACAGAGCAGGGCTTGGCCAGCTCTTCCACCAGCTCCCTCAGTACCCTCCATGTAAATCCCATCCTGCCCAATGGACTTGTGTCTAAGTGGCTTGGCAGGTCACGAACTACCTCCTCCTGGATTACAGGGGGTCTGTTCTGCTCCCCATCCCTGCCTACCAGCTCAGGGGACCAGTTGCCCTGAGGATAACCAACTTTTCTGTTAAAGACTGAGGCAAAGAAGGCATTAAGTACCTCAGCCTTTTCCTCATCCTTGGTAACAATATTCCCCCCCCATCCAATAAAGAATGAGGATTGTCATTGGCCCTCCTTTTGTTGTTAATGTATTTATAAAAACATTTCTTATTATCTTTCACAGTGGTGGCCAGATTAAGTTCTAGCTGAGCTGTTGCCTTTCTAATTTTCTTTCTACCTGACTTAGCAACATCCTTGTACTTTTCCTGAGTTGCCTGCCCCTTCTTCCAAAGGTCATAAACTCTTTTTTTTTACTGAGTTCCTCCAAAAGCTCCCTGTTCAGCCAAGCTGATCTTCTTCCCTGGCGATTCATCTTTTAGCACATAGGAACAGTCTGCTCCTGCACCTTTAAGATCTTCTTTAAGTATGTCCAGCCTTCCTGGACCCTTTCAGAGAGACCCAGGGGACTCTCTGAACCAGTGTCTTGAACAAGCAAAAGTCTGCCCAAGGCAGAGGTTTTGTTGACCCCCTTCCTTACTTCAAGAATTGAAAACTAAGAATTGAAAACTATCATTTCATGGTTACTGTCCCAAGATGGCCTTCAACCACCACATCTCCCACTGGACCTTCTCTGTTTGTAATAGCTGTGACAGAAATTCTCTTCCACACACTCCTAGATTGCCTCCTCTGCTGTGTTGAGTTTCCCTCAGACATCCATCAAGTTAAAGTCTCCCACATGGACAAGGGCTAGTAATCATGAAACATCAGCATGATGTTCATGTATATGGAATCCTAAAGACGAGTGAAAGCCTCCTTCCTCTCTCTTGGTGTTACTTTTCTGTAACACCAAGCAAGCTTTGCAAAGGAGCTCAAAAGGCCTGGTTTTAGGCACAGTATTTTCTGAAATCACATACTCTGGTAAGTATCAACCCATTGTTCTCAGAGACCATGCAAGACTACTCAGAATCCCAAGTGGAGCAGCGACCCATCCTCCTTCCCCTCTGTACTCACTCACAGAGTGTCACTCAAGGCGTCCCAGTTCCTCTGGAGTTAACAGGTCATTCACACAGGGCTTGACAAAAAACCAAACTTACTTATCCTCTAGTGACAAGTGTGGGCAGAAACCCTCCTTCAGTGAGGGCTTTGTAATCCATCCTGACACGAAAAAAAGCAGAGGGTGAATTCTGGTGTCCCAGCATGGCCCAGGACCTGCCATTACAGCTTGTCCAAGGGCTTTGATGTGTGCATTGCAAGGTTCTACAATATTGTTTCCCCCACAGTTCCACAGACCCGCCTTTGTACATTTTCTCTTTGCAGCTGACACTTGTAACATAAGCCACTGAGGCTGTAATAAAATATGCAACATTAACCATATATATGGAGCGTTACAGACTGTGAAATTCAATGTCATTTTTTAAAAGTCATAAAAACATTATCTGATTTCCAGTAGCCCCTCAGGAGATCCAGGAATATGTTTATACACTAAAATGTCAAAATCATAAAATGCTTGCTTTTATACTATTTACTTTGCGTGCTGGTGAAGTAGTTATTACATGCCATTTCATAAATATAGTGACTCAGAAATAATTAGTGTGCTGAATAACAAGCTTTCCGCTATAATACAGCATAATACAGCACCATACATTTTAAATCCCTGATTTTCATGAAGTACTTGCACAGTCTAGCTTAAATAGTACAAACAAAAGTGAACCTCTGGGGGGGGGAAAAGCAATGCTGCTGTTGGGTTTTGTTTTCTTCTCCTTTCAAGGGAGGTACACTGACAGTCACGATGGCAGGGTTGAGGCAACGAGCAGCAGTAACTGCATTTCCCAAAGGGCAGGGACAAAAGAGGCAGCACATCTCACTGTTATGACACAAGGGAGAGGTTCCAAGAGAGTATCACGTTAGCAAGATTAAAATTAACACACACCCTGAACAAAATCCTTCTTTGAAGGAAGGAGATGATTTAAAATTGCTTGTAATTAAGGGAGAAATAGCACTGCACACAGCCTTGCTCTAGCCAAGAAGTCTTCCAGATTTTCACTGCTCAGCTTGTAATACTCCTACTTACTATTTTTTTTAAACACACAGTGGATTTTATTGCCTTTTTTAGATATTAATATGCAACCAATTATAAATTGTGAGTTACAGCACTGGATAATTTCCCTTCAAGAATGCTAAGCAGATTCTGCACTGTATCAGCCCATGTGACAGCACAGCAACTACCATCCCCTCTGACTTTTTTTAGCAGCAATTCCTAAACAGATGCTCAGCAGGAAAATTGGAGCAAACCCTATCTTAGGACCTCCTTGTGTTGCTGTTTTTTAACTTGCTGGATGATCTGCTTAAAAATAAAGTAAAATTTAGGATTTAACTCCACTTCTCAGGAGTAGAGATTCAGATGAATAATAGGAAATAACAATTATCATTTATTACTTATCTTGGAGGTGCTTCCCTCGGTTTCTCTCACTGTCTGCTGGTGTGCTGGCACCACATTCCAAGCTTCTTCTTGAGGCCTGTCAGAGGGGAGAGGGGAAATTTTAAGTGCAAGGTTAACAAAAAGAAAAGGAAAATAGAGAAGGCAGTGTGAACTTTGATTTCATGCAGATGCAATGCACATCACACAACTGCACTGTCCCTGTGGTGCAGTACCCACTGACAATGTGCTAGAGCACCCAGTTGCTGGAGGTTTTGACTGCACAAAAGTGCCCTCTTCCCTTTTTTTATTTTTCCTGGGATAAAGTACTTGCAATACAACTACTCTCCCACTGAGCAAAGGTATAATTACTGATAATTATTGATGTTCATCTGTGTAAGCATTAACGACACTAGTTGGGCCAAAACAAACCTTAACACAGCTGGCTTTGTCTCCACCAAGCCCAAGCAGCAAGTGCAATTCCCAAATTTGAATATGAGTATGGATCCAGCAAACAGACTATGCTGAGAAGCAACTATGGATGAGGATACACGTTCAGTATCACTGTTTATGCAAGCTTTACACCTCTTTTCTGTAAAAAAGTCCCTTCACCATGTGGGAAAATACTTCTATACACTGAAACAGAAAAAAATGCTGAGACCAGGCCGTTCTTTTTATTTTTTTACCATAATCACAGGACTCTGCTTTGGTGGGTGTCAGATTTTGGGTTTGGCTGAGACAGTGTAATGCATAAGAACCCTCCACAGTAATGCAAGCTCAGACATAAAACACCGAGCTGATATCTAATTGTCTTTGCCCAGAAACTGCACTCAGCATTTGTAATCCTTATTAGGGAGTTTCAAAACAGCCTCCAATATCTGTGAAACGTATAGCTGGCTTTGTGTGCTGCCATGTCAGGGGGGTTTAGGACACTCCAGTAATCTTGGTGTGCTGCTTTGTGGTTTTCAGCAGGATGTTGGCATGTTCTTTCCACACTGGCCTGGTCAGCTCCAGAGGTCCTTTTCCTCTCAACACCTACACACCTCCATTCATTTAATGGCTGTTAAAAAAGAACTTCCAGAAGTGTCTGCAGTTTGTCATGGTCTACATTTAAAGATAAATTCACAGTAAGGGGAAAAAAAAATCCACTCAAGCATAAAATATCCAGATTAATTCCTGGTCTTTGCTTTTATCTCCTGTTTTATCCTTCATCATTCACCAGAGGTCCAAACTGGTATAAATGAACTTCTGAATGTGTGACGTGATCCAGCTAAAAAACCTAATGGAGAAGCAATGATTTTTCTTACTTTTTATTTTCTTTTCCTTCTCAGGGCCCAATAATGTTCACGGGAGCTTGCTAAGGAACCATTTGGATTTGCCTGTTTGTGTAAAAATAATCCATGTTTCCTTGACATGTTGAGAATACAACATGCCAGAAATAACTTGCATACTTTTGGAGGTCTTTCTGCTTGTGAGAGTCCAGCATGCTACTGGCTTTATCAAGAGGCCTAAAACACGCTTGTGGAACTTGAAAAAGCCTTTCCAATGACTAATGCAGTCCATTTGTATGGATAACTCATTAAATTAGCAGAAATGCTAAGTGTTACAAGAAGCAATTCCTCTCTTTTGCAAAACACAAAATGTGCTCATCCGGAAAAGGAAATTTCACATCTCCCAGCTAATAGTGAAATAACAGACCATCAAAAACTCCTTCCAGACTCTTCTTATTTGGACAGGCTCCACATCCTTTTCCAAGCCAGCATTTTCCTGGCCAGCATAAGCCTCTGGGAGATCCTATTCGCACTCACATCTCCACAGTTCCACCCCCAGCCAGGTCCAGACAGTTAAGCAGAAGCAAGCTGAGGGTGACAGCAATACCTTCACAATGTATGGCACTATGTGTCAAAAAAGAGTATCCTGGAGTCGTGGTCTGAAGGACTTCCATGTCCAGAGGGCTGAAAAGGTTTTATGCAGCTCTTTTTTGTTTGTAGCTTCTCTAGATCGCAGTGTTGTAACTTTTAAGGTTACACATAGGAAGAGGTTTCTGAAGACTTAGACTGTTTCCCTTGCTACCAGCTCTTTAAAGAGTTTACTCATTGCTGCAGGAAAAGGCTAGGGAAGTTGGGAATATCGCAACATTTTTAATAGGCAATTTATTTTGTAGGCAGCCTGCTCTAATGTGGTTAATCTCCAAGTGAATACCAGAAAATCTAATATATTGGGAAACACATCAAAGTCTTGAGATCACATGGTCACTTGTGCTTACACGTGTTCTTCTCAGCAAAGGAATGACAGCATTTGTTAAAAGAATTTGTTGATGGACTGAGTGTAACCAATAGCACCCAAAAGATAAAAAACCATCCCAAATACTACAGCATGTTTTCTGCTCCACACCCTTTCTGAAAGCACACGTGCAGCATTGGCTCTCTGACCTGCAGCTGATTGAGGAGCTTGTGTTGCTGGGGTCATTAGGAAGGCTTTTTTTTTTTTTTACCAACATACAAGGTATGCAGTAACTTGACAATAGCAAGTAATTTGTGTTGCTGAGGGGCACTTCTTTCAGGCTTCTTCATTTATGACATACAGACAGGACAGAGTCTGTCAGAGCAGGTACCTACTCCTCAATCAGTCCTGCTGCTGATCTCCAAAGGAGAAACATCCATCAAAGAGGCAGTAATAAATAAAACCACATCCCCAACTGGCTTCCTTTACCTTAAAGTGTTTTTCTTCTTCTCACAACTCCACCTATGAAATGATGTCAGAAACCCTCAACCACTGTTTTTCTAGAGATTGATTTAATTTTCCATTCCCACAGTCAGTGATCACCCAGCAACAGTAACCAAACCCCTGGCTAGGGCAAGAGCAAGGCCTCATCCTAGGAGGGCTGAAAGCTGCCCAAGGCACAGCCATTGTTCTCCAAGAGAAGCCCCTGCACTGAGGGCTTTCACACACCATCACCAGAAACCTCACCCCATGGGCAGGCAGCAGGGCTGGCACCCAGAGCCCGGATGTGATGCTTGTCCTGGGGTCTTCTTAGAGAAGGACAGGGCCACTGAGCCCCATGGAAATCCTTTGCTTCTAAAAATCCCACAGCTAGCAGAGAGCATCAGGGAATGACCTTGTCACACACACATCCTGTTCTCAAACTCAACTCCTGGGCACCTGCTGCTGACCTCTGCCAAGAATGAGACACGGACCTAGATGGACTTTGCCAGAAACGCCAGTCCCTGGGTTTCCAGGTTTCTACAGCAGGATAAAGAGCACCTTCTGGCTGCTCTGACTTACAGCTCAAACCCACCTGTGCCTGAGAAGCTGTAGTGTCCATGAAACGCCTCAGGGCCAGCTAAATCCCATTGCATGGGAAAAGAGCAAGAGCCAGCCATGCCCTGAGTGTTGGAAGAGCTCCAGGTAAAAGCCCCAGAGCTTCAGATCTCCAGACTTGATGCTGCTCCTGGCACCCAGACTCACCCTCTGGCTACACACAACATCCCCTGAGCTCTGTATAAACTCACCAAAACCCTCCAAAGGTGCAAGGGCTAGACCAACCCTCTCCCATTAATCTGCAGCAGCTTCTGTGGCTCTCTCATCTCCACTGCATGGAAAGCTGGGTATCAGAGTATCTGCACGGCAGTTAATTTACAGCCAGCTCCTGCCTCCATGATTCCATGCCCACTGCTGGGAGTTGCACAGGTCTCAGCTTCACGCCTGACTCCTCTCCACACAGCAGAAGCCTTTGCTGGTATTGCTGCCCAGACATTTCTGTGGGTATAGAGGCAAAGATGGTATTTGCAGTTACACCTACTTAAGTCTTTGTGCTGTGTGAGAAATGAGCAGTCTCCACTCATCTAGATTTTGGCTGAAAAGATCTTGACTTTGATTACATTCTGAGACACATTTGGTTTTAGCAGTGCAGAATGGATCCTTGAAAAACCATGAAGAAAAAGTGTTTGGGTTAAGAATGCTCTTGTGAATAAAAAAAATTGAAAGTCCTCAAGTGTTTGTTTAAAGAAAATAATTTTCATTAAAATGCTGGCACGATTTCAAACAATTTGATTTTAATTTTGAAGTGTTGAAAACGCCCTCAGATAACTTCTGTAGCATTCCAGAACCCAAAAGTGATCGTAGAAAGCACGTCACTTAGGAAATCAACTGCAGAGCTAAAATTCATTTCCTGTTTTCTAAGAAAACAAAAAAGGGCCCATGGCTCTTCAGTCTTTCTGAGAAAGACTTTCTCACAAGTGGTTTTCAACCAGGCAAGCATGGTTTGACTTTTTTCCTCCAAAACAAAACAGTTTGCCCTTTCAGAAAGCTCCCAAGAACCACACAAGTCATACTAATACAAAGAATTTACAGGACCTTGGTACCAAGCACATTGCTTTAAGCACTGCTTGGTTGGACCTGAAAGAAGTCTAAAGTCATTGGATTATTATTATTACAGTAGTTGTGCTCAGAGTTTTGTCAAAGCAGCAGTCTGATCATTTCATACCAGCATCTGATCTCCACTTTAGGATTTAGGTGAGAGTTATGCACCAGCACTGAGTTTCTGTCTCATCACCATCCCCGACTTCCTGGCTTAACTGAATCCTCCAGAGACACTCAAAATCAGAAAGTTTTGCTGGTTTGGGGACAAAATTTGACTTAGTTTTCACAGAAACCCACCTATTGAGCCAAATTCTCTCAAATTCAGGTCTAGGTTTACTGAAGCTTCTCTTCACTGAAGTTGGCTGGAGTATGTACGGCTCTTTCTTCAAAGAAACCAAGTGAAGTTGGGTCTTCAGCTCACCTCAGGGGAATTCAGAGCCCCCAGCCGGGCAGGTCTCAGTAGGTTCTTTTGCTGAGGTTTTGCAGCAGCACCACTTGTAACAGGATGTGCCTCCATCCAGTAATAAGATGTTACAGCTTGCTGCAATCACAGCTGTTGCCTCATTTTGGTTTCAAGGAAGCAGATTCCATTAAACATTCTGCTAGGAAAGCTTGTTTACATTTAAAAAGGAGGAAAAGAAATTATTAAAAACAAAAAAAAAGACAAATATGCCTCTAAGCAGGCTTTTGAATGCTCTCCTTTGTTAACTAATACAGTTAACAGGCCTGAGTAGGACAACGAACTTCCCATCAATAGCCTGACTCAAAGGGAAAACAAGTACAGACCAGCAGCTCGTGGTACATCAGCTCAGATAATAATGTGAGTGTACCCGACTGAGCGAGCTGCTGCCCCTCTGGTTCACGGAAAGGAAGAAAGTATTCAGAAGGCAAGTACTGAGACTGTTCCTCTCTGATATCCCTTCCCTCGTGATTGCTTGGTGTTAGTTGACCTTTATGTTTCTAGAGCATTGGGATACAATGTGTTTCACCACTTCATCTTTCCTAAAGCCCGTGGTGATCTCGGAGGGAAGCGTATCCCAGCCCCCTGCTATCACTGCCATTAGGAAGGTGAAGAGTCTGTCTGCAAAGAGAGGCTGTATCCCAACCCTCTGAGCTTAGTGGTAACCACCAACTCACAAAATCCCAAATTCTGTTCAGTGCTGGTAGCAGCAACCTGGACATGGCACAGCAGCTTTCCTGTCCTGCACATGGCTGAGCACAGCGTGAGAGTGGCCAGTGAGGACTGGACACAAACTACATCTTGGCAACCCTCACAGTAACCAGTCCCAGTCACCAGTCAGTCACCAGTCCCACCATGTCCAGGCCTCTTCCTGCCAAGGACGTGGCCAAGACACCAGACATCCAATATGTGCTCAGGGAGTTACAAACTCCATTATGCATAGGTAAGTTTTTGCAGACTTACAACAATCCCACTTGTGACTCTGGACTTGGGCACTTTCTAGGTTTGCCTGAGGAACAGCACAGACACCCCGTTGTGCCAAACCAGCTTTTTTCTGCTGAGGTTCATCTGACTCATGGCCACAGCTCAATTTCTGCACTATTGCTTCGTATTTGAAGAGAAAAACATGGAGCTTACTTTAGTATAAATCCCAATGAAAATAATTTAGCCTTCTGTTATTGTCAAGGCTGAACAACCTCCAAGAAAGCAAATTTCGATAGAACTTTTCTATCTCAAAGAGCCCTATAAAACTCACAGTAACAACCAATTTTTTATTTTATTTTTCCTTTTTTTTTTTTTAACTAGCAATTGCATGCCTTGGTTGCTTGATGTTTACCCTGGGATACCAAATAGTGGCTTTTATTTTGTGGAAGAGAGTTTTTGACAAATTAGACCATTTTAGGTATTGATAAAAGGCACATAAAATTTTATATCCACAAAATGCCTATTCAGAAAAAGCAGTCAACAATTTTTATTTTTTAACCTCGTTATCCTTCTCTAGATTTAGTATCTATCCCATTTTTTCAGTTCCCCACAGTAGCTTTCACTGGGTTTACCATAATCTTCACATTATTAACCTACACTCACTCTTCATCAGCATATTTACTTGGAGGTAGCTAAGAAATTAGAGATAAGTTAGTTCATTGTTGAATCAGTTGATATAATATATTCATTGTGTTAATCCTGATATATGTGGTCTGGGGAGAGCATAGAGAGGACTGTTTTGTAGTTTTTTGTGGGTTTGGTAGTTTTTTCTCTGCTCTGCCTAGCACATGTGGTAAGGCAACAGCAATAAATCAGAACAAAGGAAATGAAGTACTAGGGCTTTAGGGAACATGTGTTTTAGAAGAAAAACTTGGCTCACCTCTAAAGCAGTATTGCCTTATAACGGATGTTTGAAATTCAGATGTAGAAAAAGACGGACAAAATTATATAAATACAAGTGACTTACAGGTCTGTGCAGCTTTCAAACAGCACTGCAAGCCAGTCCATCTTCTCAGCTCCTCCCGGACCTGGCCAGGCAGACCCCATGCTCCAAACCAGCAAGAGTACAGCACTGGCATCAGCACAGCTCACCCCTAAGCAATACTGCAACACGTTAGCTGCAGACAAAGGATTAAAGAATTAAAACCAACCCAGGCAACTGACATATTGTTTTCCAGGATCTCTCCAGCTCCTGTTGACAGACCTATTGCAAACCAATGTCAGCTAGGAACATGCTACTGGAGGAGTCATTTTCCATCCCTGTAATCTGTACAACCCTCATGTTATGGCAGCAGTTTCACACAGCAAGTTCCACACACTGCTGAGACTCTGTTCCCAGTCTTGAACAGGCAGAAACTGCTCAACAGAAGTAATAACTACTTTGAAGCAGATTTCCCAAGATACTTAGGAGCCTAGAAATGAAGAGAGGTGCCTGGTGAGGTTTTCCAAGGCCTCAAGGTGGGTCAGGCTCTTCAGACTCAACCCCTGAAATGGATATTTTCCTCCTCTCTCCCTCCAATCTCCCAAAGAACTTAATGCATTAGATTTGCATGACAAGGTGCTGGGGGGGGGGGAGGGTGTGGGCAGCAGGGGTGGGTTCTGTGTGAAGCTGCTGGAAGCTTCCCCATGTCCAACAGAGCCAATGTCAGCCAGCTCCAAGATGGACCTGCCACTGGCCAAGGCTGAGCCCATCAGGGATGGTAGTAACACCTCTGGGATAACATATTTAAGAAGGAAAGAAAAAAAGTTATTGTGCAGAAGTAATTGCAGCCAGAGAAGAGAGGAGTGAGAATATGTGAGGAACAACTCTGCAGACACAAAGGTCAATGGAGAAGGAGAGGGAGGAGGTGCTGCGGGCACTGGAGTTGAGATTCCCCTGCAGCCTGGTGGTGCAGACCATGGGGAGGCAGCTGTGTCCCTACATCACATGGAGGACCACAGGGGTGCAGAGACCCACCTGCAGCCCATGGAGGAATCCCACATTGGAGTGGTGGATGCCCAAGAGACAGCTGTGACCCTGTGGGAAGCCCATGCTGGAATAGGCTTCTTGCAGGACTTGCAGATCCATGGAGAGAGAAGCCCACACTGGAGCAGGTTTCATGGTAGGACCCCATGATGCCATGGGGGACCCACACTGGAGCAGCCTGTTCCTGAAGGACTGACCATGTGGAGGGGACCAACACTAGAGCAGTTAGCAAAGAACTGTAGCCCATGGGAAGGACTCATGCTGGAGAATTTTGTGGAGGGCTATCTCCTGTGGGAGAGACCCCATGCTGGAGCAGTGGAAGGATTCCTCTCCCTGAGGAGGAAGTAGCAGCAGAAACATCATGTGATGAATTGACCATAACCTCTATTCCCCATCTCCCTGTGCTGCTGTGGCAGGGAGGAGGTAGAAAATTGGGAAGGAGGGAGGGTGGGGGGAAGGTGTTTTTTAAGATTTGTTTCACTTCTCATTATCTGATTTTGATTAGTAATAAATTCAGGTAATTTCCCTAAATCAAGTCGGTTTTGCCCATGACAGTAATCAGTGAGAGATCTCTCCGTGTCCTTGTCTCAACTCATGAGCCTTTTCTTGTATTTCCTCACCCCTGTCCAGTTGCAGAGGGGAGTGATAAAGTGGCTTTGGTGGGTACCTGGCATCCAGCCAGGGTCAAACCACCACACTTCTGAAAGGCCACTAATTGCCTCTCTGCATGTTTGGGCACCTAAATACCTCTGCAGAGAATTTTACATTCCGTGTCACTTCCCCTCCCCCTGCAGGCTGCCCATGGGACTTCCAGCCAGGCTGGTGGCCAAGGGTCAGCACTGGACTGACCAGTGCTAAGGGCAGTAAAGCAATCTCAGCTGCTGGCAGAACACAAGAAATCCCAAGAGGATGAAAGGGCTCCTGTTTGTCTGTCCTGTGCCTATTAACTTTTTAGGGTAAATGGTCTCTATTTCACTTAATGCAATAGCTTTGCTGCCAGTCTTCTGCCCATGCACTTTAGGCCAAGTAGTCTAACATTAAATGTCTCCTACATACACTTTGCTTCTGATGTTCATCTACCTTTCCAAATTTTTCTCTTTTTTCACGCTTTATCCATTCCAAGTTTAAGTAAAAGCAAAGCCCAGACACCAAGAACTGAGCAGTGACCAAGGTGGGGACTGTGAAACGGAATAGAGGAAGGTGCTATAAATGGAATCAGGGAAGCATGGCTTGGGATGATTAATGAGCTTATGTCTGTGACAAGCCTGTGCTATAAACAGCAGGTAGAGAAGCAAAGCCAGCAGCAGAAAGTGCTCAGGAGCAAAGAAGGTGGAGCTGTGCCTCTCTATCACAAGTGGTCTGGCTGCTCAGTGGATGCTGGTTGGGATAAGCACAGTTCCTCCTCAGTGACTGGGATGCACAACAGGATACATGAGACTGCTAGGGAACAGCATAAATCCTTTTGGAAACCTGGGAGAAGAGAGGGATTAAAAAAAAAAAATACAATTCCCTTTACTAGCAGCAAAACAGCAAAGTCCTGACTAAAGGTGCAGCAAGAAAGTACCTGTGCTTTTCCTCTCCTTCCCTGGGATTTTTCTCTATCAGTGGATATACTTGGTGCCCACACTGTGGGCAGCCCTAGTGGAAGAGGCATCATGGCACATGAAGGCAGGTGACAGGCTCAGCCCATGGTGAGAGGGTGCTCCTCAGGGGAGGCTGGCACCTCTCTTGCAGGGTGGCAGGGGGGGAAAGTCATTCCAGTCACAGCACTTCTCCCCCTCTGCCACCTTGGAAAGCCTACCAGGAAACACTGGGACGCACAACAAAAAGGGAGCCTGCAGACACCTGCACTCTGCAATCAAATCAGCCTCCCATGGCTGTAGCTGCCACCGCCAGCAGTCCTCAAACCAAAAGGCTGGGATTTTACCAAAAGTGGCCATTTACCATCCAGGTTTGGAAGTGTGCACCAAGGAAACTATTCATATCCTGCAGCGACCAGCCCTGGGAGCAGACAGAATGGATACTTGTCTTGTGGGAAGTACCTGGGAAAGGCACAGCCATGAGGCACCCACCCTGCAAGCTGCAGGCTCCTCCGGATCACACAGCAAACTGAAAACAGAGCAAACTGGGTCACACAGCAAACTTCTTCAGTGAGAAACTGCACTGGGGTAGAAAGAGAAGGACTTTGGGAAGATGAATGGACTAATGATAAGGGAAGACACAGTGCAATTTGGAGCAGATGTCCTGCAGTGTTCAATAGGATCCCAGCACTGCCATTCCTAGGGATAAATGTGCAAATGGAGCCTCTGAAACCCTCTTGCTTGTTTAAAAACAGAAAGACCCAAGCAAACAAAAAATTGCAATGGATTTTGGGTTCTTTATTCATAGTTTTCTGGTTCTTTAACCTGTGGAGTATATTCAGCTCTCATTTTCAGTCTTTCCTCCATCATTACAAAACAAAAAAAAAACACCCTATGTTTTTTAATAATGCATTGTAGTGAAAACTTAAATTTCCTCCTTATCCTCTGTTTCATGATCCATCCCTCTGAGGAAAGCTCAGAGTATTGTCAGTTTGTGAGAAAATGGAGAGTAGGCAAAATTGGAATTTCAGGGGTGGATAATTATGGATAAACTCAATGCAGATTATTTTTTTAAAATAAACTAGCCAAGACTGATCTATTGTTAAAACAAGACATCAGTTTTAAACAGTGAAAAAAGCTGTATAAACCAAGCCATTCAGAGTCTTTGAAGAAAACTACTGGGTTACTCAAACACAGCATGCTCTATGAATAGCTCCAGCCCACTCCAGCTTGATTTTCTGTTTTAATGTAGAAAAAGTTTCTACTGCTTGTAGCAATCAGCACCAAGTTATACATCAGCGAGGCCCTCCAAGACAGCAAATGCCCCTGCTTGCTGCTGAAAGGAAAACACACTCCAGGGAACACTTCCAGGAGACTGCTTCATGACAGAGATGTGTGTGCTTGTCCACAGACTCGGGCACTGGGAAGCCTGCAGCAGGAATGCCCCAGCTGCTGTGCTCGCTCGGGATCGCTCTGTGGTAACCAAACACTCTGAAGTTTGCAGCAGGAAACGTACACATGAGAAAACTGGAAAAATTGCACTCCCTGTGACACATGCACTTCTCATGTGGCAATGGTACCTGTATCCAGAAAACAGCCACAGCTGTGTCTCCTGCCAAGCACCAGAGCCCTGATGTGAGCGTAGCCAGGGACCACCTCACCCCTGGGGTGCTGTTGGGGGAAATATCCACAGCCCCACCCAGCACGATCCCAAATACACAAGTATCACAAGTTCTCTTCCTTCTGTCATACCCTGGCCATAGTGCCCAGTCTCCTGCCCTACAGCTGAAGACTGGGGCAGGGTTATCTCCAGAAATTCAGCTAAACTCACTTTCTGCCTGCTCAGCACTTTTTGCAGGAGTGCAGAGCAGATGCAGTGGGGGTCAGGATCTGGCCCCCCACGTGCATAGTTTCAAAGATTATCATTCAGCAGAAGGTATTGTGAGGAAGAAAAAAATGCCAAGCCCAGAGCCTGAGTTACTTCCCTGAGCCTGAACGATATCAAACATAATATTTTATTTGGCTGGTTATAGAAAACATGTGGCAAAGCCTTCATTTTTTTGGAAGGTTTGTCCTGCGGCACAAAAAGAAAAGAAAAATAACTGAACTTTTATTCTGCCTGTCTCTGCAATGCAAATCCCTGCACCCACACAGGCTGCTCTCACCTGAATTTTAAGTTCTGGAGATATATGATAACTCTACTTACTCTGCAGAAATATCAACAAGGTCCCAATTAAAGACTAACATCAAGATTTACAGAGTGGGTGCAAACAGGAAAGTGTCCCCACGAAAAGTTTATACTCCAAGCAAAATGGGAAGGTTCAAGATGATCAATTATTAAAACAGACATGAAAAGTTCAGCATCCTGATGAGTTCAGCAGCAGCAGCAAGAAAAATTGTTCAGTGCTCAAGTGTAGAGCAAGTAGAGCACTTACCTGAGGACAAGGCTGAGAGAGTAGAGTACAGGACCATTTTTGGGGGAAAAAAATTGTATTCAAAGTTCCAGCTCCAATTCTGACCTAACATCAGGTGCCAAGTATGGCCTTTCCCCTGTAAAAAACAAAACAAACCAAAAAACTAAATAAATACAACACAAAAGGAAAAATTACTCATTTAGCTGCTAGAAAGCGTTCATCTGTCAGTGAATTCCATCAGCATTTGCAGGGGAGTCAAGAGATTAGAGACATTATAATGCATAGGAGGAGCACAGCAAGAGAGTTGTTTGCTGTCTTCCCCATCCCGTCAGCTGTTCCTGATGTACCCAACCCTCTCCTAAACCTTTCTTAAGGATGTTGTACAAAGTGAAGGGTCCTCTTCCAAGCAGAGCTAGGAGGCCTTTAAGCTGCCAGCCAGCTGGGTGAGTGCTAGGCTGCTGTAGCCACAGGAAGGCTGATGCTGTGCCAGAGCAGACAAAGGGTGCACACACATTTTCTCTGTACTGGATCAGCTCCAGGGATGGTTATTTCCAGCTGTGGGGCTGTATCAAGCACAGTAGGAGATAACCTTTCCAACCTTTCCATCTGTTCCTGTAGACCGAATAACATAATAAAGATATTTCTAAACATGTGAAAGGAGGTAGAGGGTTATGATGGTTGGGACAGCAATAGCTATTGCCCTACTTCCTTCATCAGGGGTAAATCCCTTAGCTATTCCCTAACACCTCTCCTCAACTGAAGCCCCATGGGACCTTTAACTTACCTCCTCCTTTTCCGCTACTGACTGACCAGCTGCCCCAAGCCCCCTTTGCCCATCAGTAAAGGGCAAGCCCTCTGTTTGAGACACCTGTGCTCTGCAGTCAGCACAGCACATTTTTAGTGGGTTTGCTAATCAGGCCACCAGTAATGCCCCCTGAGCTGGGTGCCTGTGACTCAGCTGCAGGCCCGCTGCCACTCAGCAGCTGGCACTTGGCACAGCGGCTGTGCGTGACTCAGGCTAGCAGGAGCCTTTGGAGATGCCTTCCCCTGATTTATATCTGCAAGGGATCCTTTGTGTTCAGACCCTATTGTTGGCGTGCCAGCCTCACTGGAAAAATCTGGAGTTAATAAACTCCACTTTCCGATCACAGCAGCTCTTTCCAGGGCGCAGCTTTGCAGAGCTGGCAATGCTCGCTCCTGCACCATCAGCCAGCACAGCAGCTGATGCCTTTTACCTTGGAAAACCCTGGTGATTGCACACATGAACAACCCCAGGGAAAGCCCAGGTTCAGAGTGCCTGGTAGTCTGCCTCCCTCTTGCTCCACCTCATCCCTTTCAGTGTGGAATTTGGAGCCCATGGTCCTGCAGCCCTACCCCTAACTGTGAGAAGCCTCTTGGCACCAGCTGCCCCTGAGAAAAGAGGAAATTTAAAAAAAAAAAAAAAAAAAAAAGACAAAAGATGGATGTGACCCGATGTCACAAACCCTTGAATCCCGGGGAATCTGAAAAATGTTACCTCAGCTCTAGTAGCAGAAACGTTACTGTCCTGGGCAGCATCTTCCCCCAGGGAAGCAGGTCCCTCTGGGAGAGCTGTTTATCCATGCCAACTCTGGCTGCTGTGAGGAACATGGCATTTTGTTTTGTACCTGCAAGGTGGAGCAATTCTTTTCCTTGCATTTCCTGAAAGAAAGCAAAAGGGAACGTGGGTTTTGACCTCCAGACACATTTTGTAAAGCCCCACTGGTGACACAGTGGTGTCTTTCATGCAGTGCTTGCTCCTAAGGCCACCGGAGCAGCTGGGACTTTTCTTGCAACATTCCTGGGCTCACAGCAGCACTGTCCTGCTTTGCTCCAGAGCAAAGTGCATTGGAAACTGCTCAAGGAAGGGCTGTTATTTTGCATAGCAGTGAGTTCATTTATGGAGCTGTGTAAATAAAAGGACCATCTCTGCCACCTGGGCTACACTCTGCTGAACAGCTGCTGAACCTCTCTCCAGAACAGTGACATTTTACAGTGGGTAAAGTGACTCACTGTGGCACTGCAGCCTTTCTGGCACAGCAAATTTGTGGCTCATTTGTGGATTATCAGCCAAAAAGGGTGGAAGCACTTTGCACTTTTCAGCATCCTCATGGGACAGGTATGCCTCGGAGCTGGCTACATTCCAACAGAGTGATTCACTTAGTTTAAGCCATATTTTTGGCTTGTATAAGCTGGATCAACATCAATGGAGGTACACCAGTTTACATCAGCCTGAGAATGCGGCTCCGTATTTTCATGGAAAGAAGCTCAGTTCTGGAAGGTTTTGAGCAGGTTCTTGGTGCTGCAGGCTGGATGCCCCTGTGGACAACGAGCGGAAGCAGTGGGATGTGGGGATATTGGTTTGCTTTGTGTTACTCTGGGGAAGAAATGAGGCAGTGCTAGTCACAGTGAACGACAACAGGAGAACAAGAGGAGACATCCAGCAAACAAAATAAAACACTTCAGGACTAAAACTGGGACCTAGGGCTAGAGAAGAGCTGCAACAGGCCCTAGAGAGCCCCTGATGCAGGCAGTCAGGACAGCAGGATCAGACTGTGATACTCATTGCCTCCACTGGACAGACATACGATGCTAACAGCTTTTCAAACCAAGAACTGACAGGATTAAAGCACTTCCATTCAGATACTCAGAGAAAAATGGGCAAACACAGGATGGCCATATGTGACTATAGCTAACACTTCGATGCTGGTCCTGTGCAGTGCTGAACACCTGAGGTGAAGGGATGTGTGCAGCCCCCATCCTGTTCATGCCATACTAAAAGGCTAAGGAGGGCTTACAGCCATCCTTTCTCCAGCCCTTGTGGAGATTTGCTTCTGAGCAAATCCCTCTTCCAAAAACTGACCAACAGCTCAGATACAACGTACGCATGTTAAGAAGCTTGAAAACTGGTGTAAGAATTAGGCAGAGCCACAGAGCAATGTGATGTGTTAAATATTGTGGTTGTCTACTGAAACATTCACACAGAGATACCAGCACTCTTTGTAAAACAAGGTTGAGCATAAGTAACCCCATCTTTTATAAGGAAAATGCAAGCCACAGAGATTAAAGGCTGCTGCTGTTACAATAAAACCAAAACCTGCAAATACCACAGGCACCTTAAGCAAGATTTTGGCAGAATTTGGGCACCTTAGTTGAAAACTGCAATCGGGGAGCTCCATATTCCTTTTCTGCTGCTGCCTAGCCCTGGAGGTGCCTGAACTTGCCCACTGCCTCCTGGTTCAACTCACAGTCTCCCTAGGCAGCTGTTAACCAGAGCTGCTCCCACCCAAACACCTCCACTCCAGCTCTCATGTGAGTGCTGCTGTGGTCTGCAGTGCTGCCCCATCCCCACCAGGAACCATCCTGGGAGCTGCAGTGGGAGCACATTGGGACACAGCCTGCAGGTGAAAGATGATGATGAGCACCACAGCCCCCCAAGCAATGCCTCCTGCTGCAGCAGCACTGGAATGAGCTCTCCCTGGGAACAACCACGTGGTGTCCCATGCAGCTCCCATCCTCTCTGCTACCCACCCTGTGGGGCACGAGGAGCTCCCCAACAGCCCCCTCTGCTCCCCAGCCATAAGTATACACAGCAAGAACTGCATTTCCCTCCTTCACAGATGCTTTGCAGTGTAATGGTGTCCTGGAACTCTGGCCATTGCCCAGCCTCCTCCATACCCTGCAAAGACACCAGGACAACCCAGGCTGGGGTTGGTTCTGTCTTTTGTCACTTTTCCAGCATAACCAAGGCTTGAGGCAGAGCTTTGTTTCTCCTCCTGTCCTGTGAACAGGGTGGTTTCGAACAAGACATAGTAAGTGCCTGTGGTAAGTAACTGCTGAAGCCCAGCTCCCCCCAGGCTGTCAGCCTCTGCAGTTTTCCCATACACAATCAACAACCTGGCCTACGGCTTATTTACCCACTTCCAAAATCTTAATCTGACAACTAATGATGCATTAATCACTGTCAGACCATGATCTTTGTTTCTGCTTCTCTGCAGGCATCTGTCAGAATCACAAAAGATTAATTATTGCACTAGCCTGGGTAGAGAAACTCAGCCCCTCTGCAGAAATACTCCTCAGATGCTTTGTGACCCCTTTGGCAACTACTCACCTGTTCTTCCACTCTTTTACTCACCACTCATATTTCTAGTTCTGGGTATCTGCTCTCTCTTGCCCAAGCACCAGTCATTTTTCAGCCTCACAAGAAGCACTGAAAGAGAGGATCACCAAAATCCCTCCCTGCAGCACTGTCCCATTTTGGGCACCATGGTTTCCAGCTCATTTAACCACATCGAGAAGGTGCCTGCTCTCTCCTTCTGATACACTTTTTATATGGTTCACTTCTAACCTTCCATCCACACAGCACTCTAGGTCATGCAGTATTCAGAAGTATGAAACATCCTGTTCAAAATTAAGCGACCCTGCCTCCAAAGCCTGTGGGATGATGACACAGGAGCAATCTCTGGGAGGCATCCAAGTTCCACAGCAGCAGATGAACCAGCTGCATCACTTCTTCGAAAGAGCCCCAACAGACTAAAATATGCTCTTCCTTTACATCTCAAGGGCCTGGACCCAGCTGTTCACAGGAACTGACACTGCCAGGAGATGGAGGGACATCAAGGGTTCGTCTGCACATGGAAGCTGTAAGGGTTTATGAACACGGGTGCAGCGTGAAGTGCCTCTGGAGCCAGTACAGTTTGAACCACAGTAAAGAGTCACAGCTGTTTCCAAAGGCAAAAGGAAATAAGCTATATCTATATAAAATAAATTTAAAAAATTATAGCTTTTCCTCAAATGCAAACTACTGCTGCAGCAGCAGCCAGGAAGGTCCATTTGACCACCTTCCACTGCTGAGCACTGCCTGAGGAAGTCTCTTTTCCCCTCCCATGAGCGTTTCCGTGTATGATTCAGCAGCTTTCTACAAAAAGCAATTTGGAAGATGGATGAGTCCACTACGCCAGAGGGGAGAAACACAAGAGAGCATCTCTCTGGGTGCATGGGAGACATTTCAGCAGGTGCTTGGATCACACAGTGCTCTCTCCGTTTCTTAAACACATCCCAGGTGCCAGAGTTGCTACAGTTCTTGTTTTCCTCTCTCTAGTAAAGGCCTGAGAAGCAGGAATAGACAAAACCAAGCAGTAAACAAAATCAAGTATTTGTTTATTCCACAGTAGCTTCATTCTAATAATCTAGGAGTGTGTATAGGCTTTGCAGAAGGAAAATGCTTGGCACAACCAACACAATGTCATCACGCTGCCACTGATAGAACAGATGGTGAAAGCATAACCTGACATAAGAGTACCTTTTTCTGTTGGGAGATTTAGCTTACAGCTCCTTCCCAGGGACAAATCTAAGGCAGGAAGGTTTCTTTCTCCTAAAACTGGAATTCTCTGAGTGTTACACTGCTGAAGATTTAAATGTTTAGTTTATCCTTGAAAACTTCCTCCTGTAAAGAAACTCCAGAAGTTCCTATAATCTCAGCATTGCAGTGGAACCCTGTCCACTGGCCTTCAAACATGGCTCCAGCCAGAGCTTCCTGGCCTGCTGTGCTGCTCACAAACCTCCGAGAACGCGGCTGAGTCTTCTTAGAGCTTCACTTCTCATATATTTATGAATTTTAATGGATTCAAGTGGTTCCAGCTGCCAGCTGACACTGCAGAAAGGACAGAGCCAGACCAACCCACACTTCTCCCTCCCCACTGGCAAGTCTATTTGTGGCCCTGCACAGTGCCAGAAATAAGCTGCTTTCCTCAGAGAGACCCACTGGCAAGCACTGGGCTCTCTACAGAGGGCACAGCAGCCTCAAAGATACTCCTTTGAACTCTGATTTCAAAGTGCTCACCAAGGGGGTTTAGAAGGCCAGAAGTGCTCCTGGAGTTGTGGTAAGGTGGGAAGAGAAGGGAGGTGAAAACAAGATTTGTCTTCCCTCCACATCCTTGGAAAGAAGTCCTTTGGGGTGTGCCTGCTCCCTTTCATCTCATTTCTTCTAGCTGCAAGATCCCAGCCTCCCAACTGCAGTGCTGAGTATATTTTAAATGACTCATTAATGTTTGCATACAAATGCCAGATGCTTTCTTTTTTAAATAAATAAACAAACATAAACCTCAAACACCCTCTGAGAGATGGAACATTTTTCCTACAGTGAAGGCCACAGTGGTTGCTTGTGCAGGACAGCGGAAGAAGGTCCCCCACACCCCCCAAAATTCTACCCTATAAACATTTCTCCTCCCTTCCTCAACCCTTCCCCTGCCACACAGGTCATCCTGACTCTGGGGAGGGGTGGAAGCGCTGAGAAATGTCAGAGTTGCTTATTTCTCCCTACAGCACTTAGAGGGAGGGGACTTTGGAGGATGACAGCTGAACATAACTGTTGGGCTCAATGGGAAATTAAGCCCTGTGATTTCCCAGTTCTGGCAGTCTTCAACCTTGCTACACAGTTCCCATCTTCTTTACACCATGAAAATGGCATTGTTACACAAGGGATACCTGAGATAAACAGCGGCTGTGCAGAAACGGGCAATGACAGAGTTTGGAGTCAAAAAGCTCAGATTCAAAACTGCAGGGAAGGTGATAGCAGTGAGAACTGGTCTCTCCCTGTTTGCTCCATAAGCTTTACTCCCATGTGTCAGCTGTCAGGCGAAGGAAATGCCTCCTGCTCTATG